ACCAAGAGCGAATGGCTTGGTCCTTGATATAGATTGTCGCGACCTAGTGTGAGATAGCTTGTATAACTATGTAGTCGTTAGGGAAGAGTCCGTAATGGCGTGGGTATTATCGTAAATATTCCCCCTATCAACCGGAAACAGGGGGGTCAATAGGACGAACAGATTTCCAAACAGCCGAAATAACAAATGTTGAGTCAAAACAAAGCTGGTAGTTTCAGCTATAAAACCAGATAATTCGGAAGGAGATGACGGAGATGCCATTCTTCTCTAGGGATCTCTGGAATTGCCGTGTCCCCCCCCCCACCAAGTCTCTCTCTCAACCAACTCCCCCCCCGAACATTCTTGCACTACACACTCTGCTTTGATAGCGTCTTCGATTCGACTTTTTCTTTTGGGTTATTTGATCAGCGCTTCCTTTTAATCAACAATGTCATCCCGGATTGATAAGGTCATCGCCCGCCAGCGAGAAAAGTGAGAATCCCAGCCCGTAACCACCTCAGACCACCTTGGACCCCAAAAGATCCCATTCTGACTATCTGTTGCTGTCTATAGGATTGCCGATGGCGCCTACTACGAAGCTCATCAGCAACTACGTGTTATTGCTGCCCGGTATATCAAGCAGTCCAACTACGATGCTGCGGCAGAGATCCTAGCTGGTGGCGCGAAGGAGCTATTGAAAGCTGGTTCTCAGCAGGGCGCATCGGCCAGTGGTGGAGATTTGGCCATCATGTTGGTGCTCGAGGTATACAACAAAGCCGAATGGGAGATCTCAGGTGGTACTGATGATGCAGAGGGTCGGTCTCGGAAGAGTGAGTCTATCAAATATCCTTTTTTTACTGCTGGGGGTTTTGAGTACTACAGCGTAGTGCTTCAGGTTGCCTCAGTAGCTGCCACAGACCTAGCATTGCTAACCTATATATTTTTATTCTGCAGAGCGCCTGATCGAGCTACTGCGCGAATTCCCGTCAGACGAACCTACACGAAAGAGATTCATCCAAGAAATGACTGGATGGAGTGCGAAATTTGGGCCACTTGAACGAGGAGATCCGGATTTACATCATGCTATTGGCTCAGTATACGCCGAAGGTGAGTGATTGTTAGAGCGCAAGATTTGATACACATTCTAATCTAGTCCCTCAGATAACGAGCCATACGATGCCGAGAAACATCTCATCCTAGGAACTTCCGAATCAGCCGAGATCCTTGCAAAGCTCGAATATGAGTGGTACACCAGCGATGAGCCACACACCGCAGCGATCTATGCGTCACGCGCAGTCTTCCCATACCTCCTCACCGGAAATATCCGCAGCGCGAATAAAGCCCTGCTTATTTTCACTTCACGGCTTGCAGCAGCCAATCCTCAGCTCGGTGTGCAAGATGTTAGCAGTGCCAGCTCCGACGCACGAGTGTTCCCTGCCCTTCCTTTGGTGAACTTCATCAGCATGTTGCTGTTGGCCATCCAGCGCGGAAGTGCCGATCTCTTCCGACAGCTCACTGCACACTATGCGACACAAATTCGGGAAGTTGGTATCTGGGACGATGCTCTGGCTCAGATTGGTGAGCAGTACTTCGCCATCAAGATCCCCCGGCAAGGAAACCCCTTGATGGACATGATGAGCGGTATGTTGTTTGGAGGAGGTCAGAACAAGTCAGGGGGCAACGGAGCATCCAGAACTGCGAAGAAGGTTGAGGCACCACCGTCGAGCATGGAGCTTGATTAAGAGACCAGATGCGTGGGTCTTTTTGAAGCAGACCTTTACAGGAAAACATATCCAACTGATAATGTAATGAGATCAAGATGCATGCAGCAAGCGCAGTCCTGTCTAGTTAGAAATCGAGTACTTCTCAGGCTCAAACATCCAATTATCGTCATCCAATGATGCTGCCTTTTTGCGTAGACTCTCGTGAACCATATTTAGAATCTCTATTTCAGATCAGTATATGACCACAGAAATAACCGTTAGACTCATATCAGATTGTTAGCTTACCATCAGGTTCACCATTCGATTGTCTGGTCCGATGCCGAACCATCATCTCCACAAGAGCTGCCTCGAACTCTTGAGTCAAGTATTAGCAGACTATACTGACTTCATAGCGGAAAATATCATCGTGTCAAAAAAAAAAAAAAAAAGAGAAAAAAAAACATACTCTCTTTGTCATACCCAGTAGGATCTGAAGAAATTAATCCTCCATCCTTCGGCGCAAGTTCAGCCAGCTCCTTTCCATCTTCTCCAACCAGAGCCTGCGGCAATGTCGGAATCTCGAGCTTGTAACTGCCATTCTTGTCCCGAACCACAATATCCTTGTTCTCCACAGTTTTGAATGGTCGAGTATTTGGCCCCGAGTCTGACGATGTAGACTTTAGCCGGTGCGAAGGGCGATTGGAAAGGCCGTTGTGATTTTGAGGAACTGCGCCATTGGGTGGTCCTACTGAAGCAGGTCGGCGGCTGAGGTTCCCATGGAATAGGTTGCGACGGACAGAACTTTGGTTCATCATTCCAGATGTTTGTGTTTGCATGACTGTACACACCGTGGTCTGTGTTTTTTTTTTTGTGATGTGTTTGGCCGGAGGTTCTTAAGTATGCGGGGAGCCGTGTGCGCGTCGCGGAGAGGAAGTGTGGAAGTGTGGACGTTTTGAGGAGTTGGTTGATTCCAACCGTGTGTGTCAGGGTGTGTAAATTAGAGAGAGCGTAGTCATTTCCCAGCTTCTAGGTATTAAGAATAATGGTTGTTTGGGGGTGAAGAGAGGAAGAATGGTGCGGAATGAAGTAAATGAGAAAAGAAAAGAAACGACCACAACAACACCAACACTGTTGAACAAAACTGACTGTGTAGCAGTGAAGGTAGTATGATCAATTGACTACTAATTATCTTATACTAATTATCTTATATACAAAAGAGTAAAATCACAGCTTTAAATAGCTTCAATACCTCAATACTTTGAAGTGCACAGGCCAACTGATAAGCCCCGTTATCGCGTTTCCACACGCGCTGCTCTTCTTTCGCGTCTCTCCTTCACTGCACTTCCCAAGGCTCTTCAATTTGAAATCAACCAAATTGCTCACAATGGTTCAAGCTGAATCTTCAACTGCTTCTCACAATGGTGCCAAGCCAAATACTGCTGGTGCCCCTGTGGACTATGAGCTTCCCTGGTAGGTTTTCCCTGCAAGAAGATCAGGCAGAGCTAACCTTTTGATTTATAGGGTCGAGAAATATCGCCCAACCTTCCTCGATGATATTGTTGGCAATACTGAAACAGTGGAACGGTTAAAGATCATTGCCAAAGATGGTAATATGCCACACGTTATCATCTCCGGCATGCCGGGTATTGGAAAGACCACTTCAGTACTATGTCTAGCACGACAAATGCTGGGAGATGCATACAAGGAGGCAGTTCTGGAGCTGAATGCAAGTGATGAAAGAGGTTAGTTTTGGCATATTTGCTTTGATGACTGAGTCGATACTGATGCTGTGTGGTCTAGGTATTGATGTGGTGCGGAATCGGATCAAAGGTTTTGCCCAAAAGAAGGTTACCCTGCCACAAGGACGCCATAAATTGGTCATCCTCGATGAAGCCGATAGGTTTGTTCTCGTCAGAGTTTCATTTTGACCATTAGACTCACATATCTCTGCAGCATGACCGCCGGTGCTCAGCAAGCCCTGCGCCGTACTATGGAAATCTATTCCTCCACCACACGATTTGCCTTTGCCTGCAACCAGTCGAACAAGATCATTGAACCCATTCAATCCCGTTGCGCCATTCTCCGTTATGCTCGGTTGACAGATGCCCAGGTTGTGAAACGGTTGATGCAAATTTGCGAGGCGGAGAAGGTCCAGCACTCCGAGGATGGCATTGCTGCACTTGTTTTCAGTGCAGAGGGTGACATGCGGCAGGCTATCAACAACCTGCAGAGTACTTGGTCCGGTTTCGGTTTCGTCAGCGGAGATAATGTTTTCCGAGTAGTTGACAGCCCGCACCCGGTCAAAGTTCAGGCCATGATCAAGGCTTGCTGGGAGGGCAAGGTGGATGTGGCACTGGAAGGTTTGAACGAGCTATGGTATGTTATTAATGTGTTTACTTCAAGGTGCTGGTGGTTTCTAACCATTTTTTTTTTTTTTTTTTTATCTATAGGACCCTGGGTTACTCTTCTCACGATATCATTAGTACCATGTTCCGAGTCACCAAGACCATCCCCACATTGTCGGAACATTCCAAGTTGGAGTTCATTCGGGAGATTGGATTCACGCATATGCGTATCCTAGATGGTGTGCAGTCACTGCTTCAACTGAGCGGCTGTGTGGCGAAGCTTTGCAAGATCAACATGAAACCCAATCTGTTCGAGCCTCCCAAGGCTTGAGACTCCAGTGTGCTTGTGTGCTTGTCTTGTTGCGTATTCCCACGGCGTTCGTCATTTAAGTGACTCTGGAGGCAGGTATCGCAGCTGCATAATGAGTTTATGTCTATAAAAAATTTATCTAGCGATTCACACAGTGAAAGCAAAGTCGAGGAATTAAGAACTAATCATGCATTTCCCTCATTTGATGTCGCGTTAGGAAGACCTGTAAGAATTAGGCAGTCTTGGGGCTCTCCTAGAATAAATAGTGTACTCTCTCTTCTACACACACCACTCTTACATTTTTAGTATTCTGGGGGAGTTTGAATATTTATACACCGTGATGTATAGCGACTAAGAAATGTACTGACGTTGTATGCTTAGATAATGCTCGTGAGGACCTTGTAGAAAAGCTCGCAATTAAGGACGAATTAGCGAACTAGGCCGAGTAGTAGGTAATAGAACTACCTTATACTATAGGATTCCTATTCACTTCCTATATAAAACATGGATTCTCTTACCACTTTCATTAGTAGATGAAAATCAAGTTGACGTACCCAAATAACAAGAGATTATATATAGTAGAATTAGATGTATAGAACAAGTGTATAACCATATGTTCACCCATTCTTCATCCCTTATATCTACAGAGGAGTCCTAGACAACTCAACTGGATTTGTTGACATGACATTTCCAGAGTTTCTCAATAACTGTAGCGGCCCCTAGTACCTTCTCTTCGTGGAGTTTCTTCCCGATGATCTGCAGATTCACCGGATATCCATCCACCTGTTTCGCATTGTAAAGATCACAATTCCACTCGTCCTGACTGTTTCTGGGGACGTAGGGTTCCGAAGGCAACACATCCAGCTCAGCTCTCACCCTATCCACTGGGAAAGTCAAAGCCGGATAGTCCAGGAAATTCCAAATCTTAGTATAGCCAACCCAACGGAATTTCCGATGAGGCACAGTCGTATGCGGCAAGGTAGGACCCAACAGAACATCGACAGCCCGACCCGACGGAGACCGCACCGCATTCCATTTATCCAGATATTTCTTCTGCGCGGTAGCTTTCCGTTTGTTCAACTGCCAATACTCATAAACCGAGATAGCCTTACCGCGGTTAACCAACCCTTCAACGTGAGGAATAAACGGTTCGCCGGCAGCGGCTACATCCCGTCGAATATCCTCACCCCCATCGACCGTGTAGAAGAGATCCATAATTTCAATGCAGCCGGCATGGTCAGATGTGTCCCAGACCACAACCTCGTGGCCTTGTGCTTTAAGCCCTTCTGAGAGTTCTAACAAGGCGCGCGCAATAGGCGGGTGGACTTTTACCACGCCATCATCCAGTATCAAGCCGACAACCATAGGTCGGTCTTGGAGTTCTTGGAATGCAGTGTCATTCCAGGGAAGAGGAGCGCATCGCGGATCAAGATCCCAGGGCTGACTGTTCGCTATCAGACGGCTCATGTAGCAGATAGACGAGAGATCTCGGGCCATCGGACCAATGGCAGATGGGACATGTTCTTGGCCTTCAGTAGAGACGGGTACGCCCTGGTAGGGGAGCCGAGCGCTCTATTTTTGGGGATCATAAGTATTCACCAGTGAAAAGAGGGAGAAAGGCAGCTTGTTCATGGCGGTTGGTGCTTACGCTTGGTTTGAAGCCATACAAGCCCACTGTAGACTGTGGGATTCTTGTGTTTCCGCCGATATCAGTTCCGAATCCAAATAGTGATCCATGCAATGTCAACAAAGCACCTTCACCACCAGTTGAGCCACCGGGTGAGAAAATCGGATTGCGAGGATTGGTCGTGAGTCCCCAGAGAGGATTCTCGGTTTCGGCCCACTGGAGATAGAGTCAATCTCCGAATAAGATACTGTCAGTGATAAATCTCAGACGAACGAACCATGATACTCTGTGGAACGTTTGTCTTCGCAATGATGATGGCACCCATTTTCTTCAAGATCTGCACGATCACCGCGTCTTCCTGGGCCGGGGCAAAGGACCTACCGACGTATCCCAGGGTCGTGTCAACGCCTTTGACGTTGAATTGATCTTTCAGCGTGATTGGAATTCCATGCAGGGGACCTTTGAGCTTTCCAGTCTCTGCAAAGTCAATATCTAGTTGCTTTGCCTGTTCTATGGCATCTTCGAATAGAATCTCGGTCAAACTGTTTGTCTATCCATGCCGGATTTGATCAGTGAGTTGGTTGGGAATAGAAATGGAAACGAAGATGCGAGGTATATACCAATTGGTGTGCTACCACAGCGCTACCGATGATATTAGTATGTGGGCTGTTTCAACCCTCAATAAAAGACACACCGTTGGATATATGCCTTGATCACTTGTTCTGCTTGGAACTCTCCTTTCTCCAGACATTCCAACAGAGAGATGACACTGTCAATATTTGTGATCTTTTGGACCGAGGGATCTTCTAGCCGAGTACGTTCCTCGGGATTCTGTACTTGCGGCAGACGTTGAGCTACATCGACTAAGTATGGTGCAAGGAGTTGGTCTCTGATGAGCCGTTTCTGGAAGACAATCTCTTTCCAAGTCGGTAAGCTGCCCATTTTTCTAAATTGGGGTCAATTGTAGTCTTATTGGAGGTCAAGACTAGCTTAATATAGTCAGCTAGTCTGCTCTGCTCTGCTGTCCGAGAGCCACTCTTATCAAGTGGAGAATGTGGCACACTTCTCGTCAAATACCACTGCGGGGGATATTTGGAGTAATTTTCAGTCTTTTTATCTTGTCGTGTTCTTTATATTCCCCAATAATTTGGAGTTATGTTTGGATATGATATCTTTTTTTTTTTATTTTTTTTGAATTGAGAATATGTTGAAGAAGAGAAAGAAGAAGAGGAAGAAGAAGAAGAAGAGAGAGGAGGCGGGGAAGGGGGCCAATTTGGATGTGGGTCCAACCTTCTTCTTCAACCTCTCACTAGATTTTTAATCTCATCTCTGCCTGTGATATAGCTCGAGTTCAAGAACTTCATGAGTTATGGAATCAAGGAGATCTCCTACGGGTAATACGCCCACTGCCACTGGTGCTATACGATCACATAAATCGGCTATCGCCAAGAGAGCGTGCGACCAATGCAAATTCCGCAAGATCAAGGTAAGACATCCCATTCCCCCTCCCCCTTTTATGTATCAAAATTTCTAATGAGCATATGAACATATGAACATACTAACTTGCTTCCAGTGTAGCTTGTCACAGCCCTGCAAGGCTTGTGAGTCCATGGGCTTCGAGTGCACATTCCTTCAACCACAGAAGAAGCGCGGACCAACCGGGCAGTGAGTAATCACCCGTGACTGTGAATAATATCACTGACTGGGATAAAGTCGCGTGTCGCAAATTCGACAACAGCAAACTGTTATAACCCCTCAAGAAGAATCTAAAAATGGCTTTCAATTTCAAACTCCAACCTCATCGGTGGAGTCCGGACAAGCCGGTGCTTTGCCCGGGGCAGCTTGGACCCCAACTCATGGTCCAACTACGATTCCCCTTGAAGGGGCCGGAGGACTGCCACCTTCAGGTATACCACCTCCAATGGCACCCTGGGGTGAGGAAACCCCATCTATAGATTCTCACAGCAACAGCGCCGGCGCCATGAGCTGGAACGATCGAAATGATGTCGAGTACTGGCTTCCAGATAATCTGGATTCTCAGGTCCCTGTTTTCGAATATCCAGGAAGTAATGTATATCTCAGGCCATCTCTCCCGTCTATCATTCAACCAGTACCCGATGCTGGCACCATTGGAATGCCTCCGCAGGAAGCTCCAAATATGCCATACTCACCAACTGTGGGGTCCATGCACTCAGATACCCAGGAGACTGATGCAATTTGGCCGTCCACAATCAACGAAGCAAATATGATCCCCTGGATTGACGTCTACTTTGATCGACTACATCCGACCATACCCGTTCTCAACCGATCATCCCTGTACACTTCGATGATCACACAGGAACATCGCAAGAACTCTCAATTCGGTGCCATGCTTTTGTCTCTATGTGCATTCTCGCTCACACAACCAATTGAGATCAACGAGCGGCCGACGACCTCATCTCGAGCTCTGCAGGCACGAGCCATGATGAACGAAGCGACCAAAATGCGAAGTTGTTCGGATTTTGGCGAGAACCCAACCATCGAAGCTGTCCTAACCAGCTTTTTCCTCTTTGGCTGTTTGTTTGGGAGTAACCAGCACAACGCCGCGTGGCTCCGGATTCGGGAGGCACTAGATCTTGCGGCCACGCTGGGGTTGAATGATCCCGAGTCTTATCAGGATCTGTCTGGGGAAGAGAAAGGCCAGCGGCTACGGACGTACCTCGTCCTCTCTATTACCGAAAGGTAAGAAACGAGAAACGACCAACTATCTTATAAATCGACTCGCTGACTATGAACTCCAGAGCCTATGCTTTGCAACGGCGACACCCAATCACCTTCTGGGGGAAGCCGGGATTCACCATGCGGTCAGTGCATGACTTTATCCACAGCGCCACGCATAGCGTCGTCTCCGGCATTATGGTCCACAACGAGAAAGATGCTGAGGGGATGATGGGTCTCGCACGAATGATGGAACTATTCGATGCTATCGACGAAGATGTCATCGACTGCTGGAACCGCCGATGCGATAGTAGCAACGGCTACTGTCAGCGGCTCACCAAAGCGAAGGCACTCGCCATTCATCAAAATCTCAATCGAGTCAACCAGGCTGAACGATATCGCGGCTATGACTGGTTCGAGCGAGCCAAGGTCGGCCGTGGCGAAACTAGCAATGCCACATTTGCCATGGGCCTACGAGAGACTCAAGCAGCCGACGTTTTTATCACCCAGAAATGGCTCCAGAACCGTGTCTGGCTCCTTTCCTCAACTCACGGGCTTCTGAGTGCCCATTCGGAACATCCCGAGCTAACCTTCGGATATGCCGTATCCGTTGCTGAGACCACTCTTCAGCTGTGTCAGTCATTACGGTTGAGCTCCATGGAAGCCCATGGCATCGGTCTGGTATGTAATTTATTCTCATCTATAATCTGTAAATGGGTTCGGCTTGTGAAATTGTCTCCTTACTAACAAATTAATATTTAGACCGAAAAACTGTACGATATCGCAATCTGCGCAACAAACATCCTATGCAATACAAGCCCGTCTTACGGGGTTGGCATGAACATGCCCGTCAATTTCACTGAAAGAATACCATCGACCACGACTTATACGCCCCAAAGTCTCGCGGAAGACTTCTTGTTACTTATGACCAGCTTCCGTGGTGGAAACCATCCTTATCTGGAGAAGTATAGAGCTCATCTACGCTCGCTCCAGATTATGGAACCCAAAGCCCCGGAGTGGCCGCAACGATGACTGAAGCTGTTACAGGGGGCTTTTTGATTTTTTCCAATTGTATGGAATGGGTTATATGATTTTTTTTTTTTTTTTTTTAGAACTCATTGACTCACGTTGTACATGGAAACCCCATTTTTGACTGGATTCTGCAGTGTGCCAATAGAGCGAGTTTAACTATACCCAAGTTTATTTATATGTCCATGGTATAATGCGAAGAGCACAGAGCATTTACCCTGCAAGTATATTACAACCTTCAATTAGAGTAGAGACATAAATAGTTGGATCATGTCAACCCTTTTGACGCACGGGACCTCAGCTCATATGAAGTCTCATACGACCTCCACTTCCACATAGGGATCTTAGCTGCATACATCTCATCGATCTCGGCAAAAGTGCGGCCACGCGTCTCCGGCATAAAAAAGTAGAAAACCACAATGATGGCAGCCATACAACCAGCGAAGATGAGATAAGTCTTCGCGCCAAGGTCCGCCGCATCCGCCGAAGTTAGCTGCGGCACGACGAGAGTGGTGATGACGGCGGTTGTTTGCGCACATGCAATTGTGTAGGCCATGGTATGGTGGCGGAGTTTGGGAGTTGCCATTTCGGAGGGCATGAGGTTTGACAGTGAGAAGAAGGAAGATGCCCAAAAGAAATTAAATATAAAGGACAAAGCGGCGATGGCCATAGTAGCTTTCTTGTTTCCTCTGTCGAAGGCTAGGCCACCGGCCACGGCGTCAATTACGAACAGAATCCCCATTCCAAAGAATGCTGTGGGACGTCGACCGGCACGGTCGATGACCAAGGGTGCGGCAATGGTGCCTGCTAATGTGCAACAAGACGCGATGATTGTCAAAGAGAAGGGATCTGCAATTCCCAGCACTGTCAGGAAGACAGTTGTATATGTTGTTGAAAGAATGATGCCTGATATTTGATTAAGAGAGAAGAACGAGCCCGCCGTCAGGGTACGTCTGAGGTGCTGTCGCTGGAATATGTGCCAAAACTTGGTCTCAGCGTGTAGCTGGCGCTCGCTCTCTTCAGAGAGCCTCATGAGACGGAGTTCATCTTCAACTTCGTCATCGCTGGACCCACGCAGTTTCCGTAGGCTATGTCGAGCGTCTTCGATCTTCCTCTTCCCGGTCAGCCACTGTGGGCTTTCTGGAAGGGACACTGTCAAAAGTATGAGCAACACAGGCAGAGCACACTGTACAGCCAGTGGGATCTGGTACGAGAGATTCCCATGGATCTTTTCCGTTCTGAAGACCACCGTGGTACCTACCACGCCAGCCGTTAGATTCAAGATGTTCATTGAACTGACACATCTTCCTCGTATAGAAGCGGGAACCACCTAAGAGTAAGAATAAGCGAGATTGAACATCGAACAGGGGGGTAAAGGATCAATACCTCGGAGATATACAAAGGGGCAGTTGCATTTATAATACCCAAGGCAACCGAATTGATAGAACGACCTCCCACAAAGGCCCCCAAATTTGGAGCAAAGACCTGTAGTAATCCACCACCCACAGAGACGAAATATGCAATAATCAACGGCCATTTGCGACCAAGGTGGAAATTCATTGGTGAAGCAAGTAGACCTCCAATCACCGATCCCACCAATGGAAGGGAAAAGACCAGATTTTGATTACGGGCCGTGAGAACATATTTCCCAGTGACTGGGTTAGGTCCTTGGAATTTCTCCACCTGCGTTGGAATCAGCTTTGGATCCTTGGATCTTTTTGTTATGATGCAGCAGCACCCACAAAACCCGGTAATGCAGCAACCGGTGATATAATCTTGTCATCGAATCCAAACAAGAATGAGGCGGCACCAAATACTGTACAGGCGAAGATTAATTGAACATTGATGGCTGACTTTCGATGTGAGTCCCTGTTGGAGTAGTCGACATGTTGTGTCTCCGTTGAACCACATTTGTAAGACATGATACGTATAAGGCCACACCCTTGAAGACAGATTTTCCATGGATATATATTAATTGGTTCTATATCGATTCATGGTTGAATGTGTTGAATGTGTTGGATGTTGGATGTTTGGGGAGGAGGAGAGAGGAGGATAGGGGAAAGGGAGATGTTCCCCGGATCCCCCGGATTTTCTTTCCCTAAACCCTAAGGCCCCCGGATTTATTTTTGTTCGAGTTTCTCCGAGATTTCCCATTTCAGTCAATTTCAGTCAATTTCACCTGCAAAGTGATGAAATGAGATCTCTCATGACTTGGA